CACGGGCGACCTCTCAAAAAGAGGGGCTTCTCAGTTTTGATGCTTTCTGTGGTCCCCTTTCCTTCTCTTTCCCACCGACCGTCCTTGTTCATACCCACCTCTTGTTCATACCCAAGCGGAATAACACACTATTTCTATCGCGACATGTATTTTTCAAACTGACAGCATCACGTTGGAAAAACTCCAACTCGTGCCGCGTGCGGTCGCGCAGCGCAGCTGCACACTGCATCTAGCAACTGCATATTATATTTTTACCTACCCATTTACGAACCCTATATTTATCAGTGTGCCGCCGAGAATGTGATACTGGACGAAAATCGCATATAAATGAATACGCGAAAAAAGCTAAGACTACCTCTTTCTTGGTCTTTTCGGAAAAGGCAGGCGGATACCATAAGGCTGTAGTCTGATCAACTGGAGCGAAACACGTGTCCAAATGGTAGAAGTTTGGATGAATCAATTCGCAGATGACAATGTCGAATTGGCCGAGCGCTTTGATTCTTTCGTAGACCTGAAAACGGGGTTTACTATAGAACACTGGTAAACGAAATTCTAAGGGCAACGCACCCCTTTAGCGGATCGCTGTCCAAATCCTGCCCAAAGAGTTTTTGGGTCAGAAAATACAGCATCGCCACCGCCCTCGAAGAACTCCGGATAGTCTTCACCCAATGTTTGGATCCCGTGAGATTTGAACCACTTCAGATAGTGTTCCTGTTCTCCGGACCTGTAAAGGGTACTGCTTAGAAATTTCATTCTATCTTTCATTTCATAACTTATTGAAGCTTTAACGAAGGCTGTTTTTCGTAATAGCCCGAAGCTCTCAAAGACATGATTTCCTTAATAGCGTCTTAAGAGGCTCAAAGGCAGTGATCACGATGGCTAGGGGCAGTACGGCCCTAAAAATGTCACTGAACCCATGCGGACATCTCAGGGCGCTGGCGAAGGAAGAGAGGAGGGGATGTGGTTGGGATCGCCGTTCACCGCCTTTCCATCACTGACATTCAATAACATGGTCAAAACCAGGCCACACTCCAGCCATAGGATTACTGCCTTCAATAGCGCAGAGGCGTTGCTAGTAACCATTTCGATGGGATCGCTTTCCATAAACGTCGAGCAGGCCTTACATTCCTCTCTAGTATGGCGCCTGGGAGTGAACTTTTCATGGGGTCAGTTATAGAAGGATAAAGCACTCAGTGTAAGAAAAAATTCATTCTGAGGTACTCCACGCATTCCA